TATAGAAGCCTTTTAGTTTAATGAGGTCCCATTTGTTGATTCTTGACCTTATTTCCTAAGCAATGATGTCTGGTTTAGAAAACCCTTTCCTACACCTCTATCTTGTAGGTTATTGCCAGTGTTTTCTCTGTTTCAGAGTTTCAGGCTTCACATTGAGGTCTTTGATCCATTTGGAATTGACTCTTGTGCAAGGTGAAAGATAGGAGTTTAGTTTCATTCTTCTACAGGTGGAGATCCAGTTTTGCCAGCACCATTTGTTGAACATGCTGTCTTTTTTCCAAGTGAATGTTCTCAGCCCGTTCGTCACAAATCAGGTGATAATAATTGTGTGAACTTATATCTGGGTCCTCTATGCTGTTCCATTCACTTGTGGCTCTTTTTTTTTTCGCCTGTATTATGCCTTTTTTATTCCTATGGCTTTGTAGCATAGCTTGACGTTGGTATGGTAGGTGCCATGTTATTTTAATTACTATAACTTTGTGATATAATTTTAGATCAGAAAGTGTGACACATCCAGTTTTGATTTTCTTTTTCAGCATTGCTTTGGCTATCTGGATTTTGTGTGAGTCCCTGTGAATTTGGGGCTTGTTTGTTTCTGGGAATAATGCCATTCGTATGTTGATAAGGATTCCTCAGTCTCTTTCTTTAAAGATTTAAAATTTTCATTGTAGAGGTGTTTCATGGCTTATAGCTTTCCTCTAGGACTTTGAACATAAATGCATGTTGAATTTTGTCAAAGGCCTTCTCTGCATCTATTGAGATGACCATGTGGTTCTTGTCTTTGAACCCATTTATATGATTTATGACATTTATTGACTTACATATATTGAACCATCCCTGCATCTCTGGGATAAAGCTGACTTGATCATGGTGGATGATCCTTTTGATGTATGTCTGTATGCGGTTTGCAAGTATCTTATTGAGAATTTTTGCATCTATGTTCATTAAGGATCTGGGTCTATAGTTTTCTTTTTTGGTTGTATCTTTACCTGGCTTTGGTATTAGAGTGATGCTGGCTTCATAGAAGGAATTTGGAAGTTCTCCCTCCCTTTCTATCTTTTTGAATAAATTTAGAATTGGATGTAGATCTTCTTTAAATGTCTGATAGAATTCTGCTGTAAATCCATCTGGTCCTGGGCTTTTTTTTAGTTGGAAGGTTTTGTATTACTGTTTCATTTTCTTTTTGTGTTATGGGTCTGTTTAAGCTGTTGATCTCTTCTTGGTTTAGTTTTGGTGGTTCCCATGCCTTTAGATATCTGCTTATTTCTTTTAGGTTTTCAAATTTAGTAGCTTATAGGTTTAAAGTATCCCCTTGTAGTGTTCCGTATCTTTCTGGTGTCTGTTGTGATGTTTCCCCTTTCATCTCTGATTTTGTTGATTTGGTATTCTCTGTTTCTTAATGTCCCATAGCCATCATTGTGACACACAGTTTACTTCAGAGTCACCAAAGGTCAGGCTTGACTCCTTTTAGAGAGGTGGAAATGGAATAACAGAGATTTTAGAATCTGTTTTACTTTCATTGTTACAAGCAGCTCAGGTATTTTTGGTTTTTTTTTTTTTCTTTTGGTCTTTTTGAGTCAGGGTCTCCCTGTAGCCCCAGCTGTCCTGGATCTCACTATGTAGACCAGGCTGGCCTTGAACTCACAGAGATCTACCTGCCTCTGCCTCACAAGTGCTGGGATTAAAGGCATGTACCACATGCCCAGTGCAGCTCAGTTTTATATCACCACTGGCTGTGACTTTGCTATGCAGATGAGCTGGTGTGGGTTATAGTGCATGCCATGGACGGTGAAGGGTTCACTCATCCTGTGAGCCTAAGGCTAGAGCTGGGTACTTGAAATGGTGTGATTGTATTGTTATCTCCTATAAGATTACTATGCTAGGTTAGATGTTTAGTGTTGATTTTTTTTCTTCTTTGTCTTGTTTTTTGTTTTGATACAAGGCCTTACTATGCACCCCAGGTTAGCCTTGAACTCTCCATCCTCCTGCCTCAGCTTCCTGAGTGCTGGGACCAGAGGCTTGTTCCACCATGCCATCATGCACTGTGTATCTAATGATGATAACTTTATAGTGATATAAAAAATACAAGGCCAATGGCTAAGCCAACTTTATACACCTACTCAGTGGAATATCACCACAGCAAAAAAAAAAAAAAAAAAGGAGCAACCAAATTAAAGTAGATGAAATCTTACACAAAAGCATATATGGTGTTTACAGTCTATGATAACAAAACCAATCTGTGGTGAAAAACAAGCACAAGAATGGTTGCCTCTGGGGTAGGAAGGGGGTGTTGAAAGGTGAGCCATACTGATGCCTGCCATTTCGTCTGATGGTAACAACTACAGCCATGAAAATGGAGCCTAGAGCTAATAGGGCATATTGAGTAAAGGGTTAATTGTAGAATTCAGTAAAGGGTTAATTGTAGAGTCTAGCCGGTGGTTGGTTTTCCTAGTGCTCATTGTTCAAGTTTAAACCTTTCCAATCTGTAGGCTTGAAAACATTATTATAATGCATTTAAATAATATAAAATCTCTCAATATAAATGCACACATGGGGAGCACTGGTAAGTGTTTTGGGTGAGGCAAGATTCCTGTGAGGGCTGAATATCCATATTAAGCCACTTGTCAAGAGGAAATGAAGATTTATTATATTGCCCTTTCTTAAAATGCTGGATTAAAAAGACATTTAGAATGATAAATACACGGAATTTTGAGTTTGCAGTGTGACAGAGGAATTGTTATCAAATTGTGTAATTAAAACTACTTAGTATCATGTTTTTACTCTACTTTGTTTTCAATGGTTTCTTTGTCTCCATGAACTTTTAGAAATGGTAAGTTCTAAATGGGCAGGGGTGGTGGGTGAGTAATAAACAAACAACAGAATTGAACTAAGAAGAATATAGCATTTTCATGAAGGAAGTTAACTGAAAAGTACTGTGGGAAGTCTTGACCTTGCGTATAAATGCGTTCACCTTCACTTTTCACTGCCTGAGGATTACTGGGATTTGGGAAGACAAAATGGGCATGATGAATTAGATCATTCTGTTTCTTCAAAAGGAAAGAACTTAGCAGGAATATATACAGAGTGTGCCCTTCAGAACCAAGAACCGATAATAAAGGTGTGGAATGGGCAAAGAACAATTATAACTAACCTCACCCCAGCCAGCCCCCACTGAACATTCCCTGGCTCTTCTGCCATGGTTGGGTCTATGAATACATATTTCATAAGTCATATGGAAACATGACAAGACTTAAGGAGGAACGAGATGATGAAAATTATGAAAAATGAGTACTACGCAGAAAATCCAAAAGAAGAGGAAATTCTGCAGACTTGTACCAGATTGAAAGGTTAATCAAATGCTTGTTTATTATTTTCAGTTACATTAAGAGTTTCTGTGAGATTCTATGAACACAAAAAGTGGACTTAAGCCGAGAGACAGCAGAGTTGTATAATGGAATTGTCTCCTGACTTTGAGTTTGATTAAACCCTGGAATAATTATCAAGAGATGCTGTGGCATCTACATCCCTGGAGAACTGCAAATGCAAAATATAAATTCTGAATATTTTGGCATTGGTCTGCTGGAGGCAGAGGACAAACTCAGATGGTCCCAGAAAGCAAGGTCCTGCATCTGCATTCTAATCACCATGCTCCATTCACAGAAACCACTTTGAAGTGTACTGGGTAGTAATTTACATCTTTTGCTTTGGAGACAGTCTCACCATGTAACTTCAGCTGGCCTGGACAGGCTCTCCTCAGACTCACAAAGATCTGTCTGCCTCTGCCTCCCAAGTACTGGAATTAAAGGCGTGTGTCACCATGCCTAGCCTTTCTGGGATTTCTATTAGGAATTTTAAATTTGTTTCACTTAAAAATCACTGTATTGAATGATTGTTCTCATGGTTCTTGTCTTCCAATAAATGGTTGCATATTGCTTGGGTGACCATAACACTATTCTTAACTTAGTTTCTGTATTCTTATAATTATTATAAAATAGTTGCACAGTGTTCTCCCCTTATCTTTGTGAGATACATTTCAGAACCTCCCAATGGATCTCTGAAACCACAGAGAGTGCTGGACTGCAAGTATATTATGCATAAATGTATGTACACACACATATAATACACACACAGTGTGTATATTCTATATGCAGTAGACATGTGTATATACACTGAATATATTATATATGGTATATATAGTATATGTATGCACACATAGTTCATCTATGTTATGTATACATATATACATGGAATATATAGTATATATATATGCATAGTATATATCATATATGTAGTATATATGTTATATACATAGTTTATATATTATATGTGTACATATTGAGTACAGCATATATGTGTGTATATAGTATACATACATATATTTAATTTATAAGTTAGATACAATAAGAGATTAAATCATAACACAATAAAATAGAATTATAACAACGTATTATAGTAAAAGCTATGTGAATATTGGTACATTCTCTTGAAATATTCTGTGACCATAGTAGTCTTTAGACAAATATTTTACCTTTTTTTTTGAGGTAAGGTCTCACTATGCAGCCCTGGTTTGGATCTCTCTATGTAGACCATGCTGGCCTCCAACTCACATCCCAAGTACAGGGATTAAAGCATCTACCACCGTGCCCAGTTTGTTCTTTGTAACACTGAAACCACAAAGTATCACCATGAGTGGGTGGGGGTTGCTATAATGTATTCTCTCATTTTTGTATTGATGGCATGACAACCTAATTCACAGCTATTATGTAAGTTCATGAGCGTTTTCTTGGTTCCAACACGAGGTGCTTCACACTCTCCACTTTACCCTCTGTGCATCACGATCCTCCCATCCAGGAGAAATGAGGACTGAGTATCTCCCCTGCCCAGCTTGTCTCCTTTTTGAAAGCCAAGACCCAAATCCTCCCTAGCTGCACCTATTGTCATGTATATTTTTGGTTCCTTCATCTTATTCCTTGGTTTGCTTTTATTCTTATCCATTACAGAGCAAAACTTGCTTCCTGTTGTAACGCTGTTCAGAACTTTGTGGTTTCTCAAAATAATACTCCAGTGGGGACAAACATGAGCTACGAGGTGGAAAGCAAGAAGCAAATACCGGTTCGAGAGAACATTTTCCACATGTTTCCGGTGGTGAGTAAGGATTGTTGGAGGGGCGGATTTCCTCTCACATAAATTTGTAACTTGTGGTAATAATGAACAATTTTTTAGTTTACCATCCTTTGTTATGGTGTAAAACCCGTGTCCTTCAGAGAATGCAGCCCTTTCCATTTTTATATTTTGCCTGCTGGAGATTTAACCCAGTACTTTGCCCATGCTTGGCTAGAGCTCTACCACTGAGCTACATCTCTAGTCCTTATAAATGTTGTTTTAAGCACAGTATTGCTTTCTAGGAAGGTGTTTCTATCTTAAATGACCAGCGCTTCCTGTCCTGCAGTCTACCTGACTCTTCATCGAATGGACTGAGACCCTTGGGGTTTCAGGATTTCAATGACTGGGGCTTGTGGAGGTAACAATGATTTTCACCTGAAATCAGTCTTCCAGTTGTCATTTAGGATGACCCTAGGTTCATGTGACTTATCTTTGTGATATAACTATGTAAGAATTCATGGTCAATTAACAGTGTTCATAGACAAGGTTTAGTGTCTGCTATGTTCATTGATGTATCCCAAGCTTCTAGAAAATTCCACAGTGTATATGTATACCCACTACATGTTTGTTAAAGAAAAAAACAAAAAAAAATGAGTAATAGTATGGTAGTCTGCTGCTTGGCACAGTGAAGAAAAACTTGTTTAATATAAATACAAAATGAAGGCATGTTTTGTCATGAAAAGCATCTCATTACTTATGAACATACATTCTTGGGCATCATTTTATGATGTTTAAAAGCAATTAGACCAAATCAATATGTATCTATGCAGTTTGACACCTTAGATAGTTTTTCACAATTAATTCTCTTTCTGTTGGGTCTTTGGCTTCTCTTATTGTTACCCATTTGTTATGTCAATGTCTTTTCTATTACAATTCAGAGAATAATTTGCTGAGAATAAATGAGAACCAGCCAGAAAATGATAGAGAAAACAACACAGATTTCCAAGAAGAAAAAGGTGACTCAAAGAGAAAATTGTCAATAGTGGGAAAAAAATTAATAAAGACAAATTTGGTGTTTTAAGTGATGTGTATTGTAGGGGATTGCTTTCAATGAAGGCTAAGAAAAAAGTTTTAACTGAACATGTAGTAATCCTAGCACTTGCTAATTGGAGGCAGGAGGATTCTGATTTCTGGGTCAACCTGGGCTATATAATGAGACTCTCTCCAAACACCACAGAATGGACCTCTACATAGCTTAGTGGCAGAGCATTTGCATAGCCTGTACCAGGCCCCGAGTTTTACCCCATAACTGCAAAAAGCAAACAGACAAAAACAAACCCCGAAAAGACATTCTTTGGATTCACTGAAACGACCAGTAAATAAAATGATGATCATAACCAAGCATTTCTCTTCCCCATGGAAGGCCTGGGAGAGTTCTACAAACAGCCACTGTCACGCAGATTTGGCTGGTGTTTACCTTGCTTTCTGTTGCCCAGATTAGAGGAGGTGCAACTTGTCTGTCTCACAGCACCTTAGAAAGAAGACTTTAACAAAGGCTGGTGCTTCTCTATTGACAACCGCATGCATTTCCCAGATTTATACTGATTTTTTTTTTTTCTAATTGGTGAAAAGAAATTCTATGTTCAATACAGTGACCTGGGTAAAGCTATGTCACCTTCTTGTGTTGCTTCAACTCCTGCTCTCAAGGCTGGGAGTCAGGGTGGAACCACCCCTGTTCCCACCTTCCTTCCTGCTGTGAACCTGATTTCCCCAGCTCTCCACCCCAGGCCCCCACAAACAGCCCAGTAGATCCACCAGGCACACAGCAGCTTGCAGTAAAACCTCTCCAGTAGAGAACACAAAGTAATTGCCTCTAGAAACTTTTCAAAACCAAGCAACAAAGTTGATTTTCAGCCTCAGCAAGCAATGAGCAGACAGTTGGGCCATACAAATTTGCATTTTCTTAGGTGGTTTATTTTAGGGGACACTGAGGTTTGTAATTTATTTCAAGTCCAACTGAACACGAGATCTCAAAACATATGGCTGTTTCTTCCCAATTGACCAAGAAACCAGAGAAAACACGTATTATTTTGAGGACTTAATTTGAGATATATTTCCCTCAGTAATCTTTTCTATTGTACCATAAAGAGCATATTTGCATTACTGCATTCCACCCTTTCTATAAAATTCAGAATTTAAAGAGGTACCATTCAGTAAACACTGCCTAGAGCTTGAATTTTGGAGATATGAAATAGCCTGCGACCTCTGGGAAGCATTCTTTTAAGAGCCAGGCACCACGCTAGGGACTGTGGATAGAGAGAAAAGAAAGCCACATCATGAACACGTTAATCCACTGGTTTAGGAGAAACTGTGGGCTGGGTGTTGGCTCAGAGCAGCCTGCCTGGGTTCATATCCCAGCCCTTCCTCTCTGCTTCAACTTGTGCCTCCACTTTCCCATCAGTAAAATGCTCATACAGTGGCTGTGTGGATTAAATCTACTAGTCGGTTATTCACGTGGAACAGTGCCTCTCATACAATAAATATAATGTGACTATTAATTTTTAAAAACAAACCTACAAAAAGCACTGTGTACTTGCTGGGCATCTTCCAGATGCATCATCAGGAGCAGGTGCCATGTGCATGGCTCAGGAGTCTGCCAGCACTCTGAGCAGCTCAGAACCACAGCGGCCCTGGAATCTTGCCTTTGGCCTGGTGACTTGGCTTTGGAGAGAGGTGCGCCTTGGTGCTATAGCCTTTCCCATCCCCATGGTTTAGATACCAACACAATGGCCAATTTCACGTCAGTAGTCTAACTTCCAGCTTACAGAATTCCTGAATGTTGCCCAGAAGGCTTTTGCAATCTTGTACATGCCAGCTCCAACACATAGCCTGATTGCACCATGGGGGAACCATTGGACCAGTAAGTACTTATGGCAAATCCACTGTGAACATTGCATATGCTAGACACAGAGTGATCAATGAGGGGAAATGAAGAAACACTTTCTTTGCCCTTGAGGATATACATTCTAATGCAACAAAGTGAATCAGGTGGCTGAAAAGATGGCTCTTAATGGTGGTTAAGAGCACTGAATGCCCTTGCAGAGGACCTGGGTTCAGTTTCCAGCACCCACATGGCAGCTAACAACAGTCTGGCAGTTATAACTCCAGTTCCAGGGCACCCAACACCCTGTTCTGGCCTCCACTGGCATTGCAAACACAGGTGCACTTACATACATGCAGGCAAAATACTCATATAAATAAGTAAATAAATGAATAAATAAATAAAATAAATAAATAAAAATAAATAAATAAAAAAAACATTTTAAACAAGTGAATCAGAATTTCATAGCTGTGGGTTGTGGGAATATTGTTCTAAGCTCAGGGAATACTGTAAGCTCAGGGAATATTGTTACTTCAGGAAAACTGACCAGCAAAGGAAACTGAGCTCTGTTGAACTGAAAACTTCCAATTCAGGTATAGATGACTTGCTACAAATGGGAAATGTTAGGGGCTAAGCAAGGTTGATCCTGGGAGGAAAAAGACATGTCAGCTCAGGGTGGGCAGATGCACCTAAAGTATGCCAGCCGGGCACTTGCAGGGTTGGCCATCATAAATCTAATGCCATCAATTATCTATTTGGGTCTAACAATTGCGAAGCACAGGCCAGTCTCCTAAAGTATCTATTAATTCTATGCAGGACAAAAGGCTGCTTCCCAATTTCTTTATTCTCTCCTTTTAAATTTGAAAATGTCTCTGTTGGAAAAGGACAATGTGGGATTTTATGAATCTCATTTCATGTCTTTCCTATGTGATATAAGACATGTTCTGTTCACCAGAAATGGAGGGAGAGAAGCAGCTTTTCCAGCCATCTTCAGCTACATAGCCAGTTTGAGGCCAGCTGGGCTATATGAGACCCTTATCTCAATAAAGCAACACAGAAACATTATATTATGGTTCATACAAAAATATATAACTTTTACAGTCTTACGTTTAGTTATGTATTGTGTGGTATTTATCTCTCCCAAGTGAAATACAACAGGCTTACATGATCATTTTTATTATGTTATCAGAATGCTATGCTTTATTTACTAACTTATTTACTGTGTTTGTGTGGTGTGGTATATGCACCCGTGAGAGCACGTGAGCCTTTATGCGTGCATGTCGAGGCCAGGTGAGGATGCTCCTCTATTGCTCTTCACCTTAGTTTTGAGACAGGATAGCTCATAGAACCGAGACCTCTCTTTCAGACAGACTGGCTAGCCACAGAGCTGGGGGACCCAGGATCAGCCTGGTTCTGCCCCGAAATCTGGAGTTACAGACACACATGACCACGTCTGGCTTTTCCTTGAGTACTGGTGTCAAGTGCTCTTACCCCCTAGTGGCGCCATCTCCCAGCTCGGATGCTTTTGTTTTTCTTGCACTTTTATCCTCCTTGCACCCAGTTACTGGACTTGAGCTGAGAAGATGCGCGGTTTTCTTTTCTAGTTAAGGGTGCTGGGTATTGAACATTCTATGAGCCACGTTGCAGCCTTGTTTCTGATCTCCAAGCCAGCAACGTTTCATGATTGGTTTCTGCCCTCTCTTGCTAGTTCCAGCCTTTTCTGGATTACCCTTACAACCAATGCGCAGTGGTTGGAAATGGGGGCGTTCTGAACAAGTCTCTCTGTGGAGCTGAAATAGATAAATCTGACTTCGTTTTTAGGTAAGACTTGTCAAAATGGTTTCTCTTTAAAACCAAAGAGCTATTGGATATTTAATGGGTGATGTCAAGATACGTGTATTGATTTTGCCTTCTGATTATGTGGCTAGCATCTACAGATTAGCCATGTAGACTTTCTTGGTGTTCACATGACTCATGACTTTCTCCACATGCTCACATCAGCAGCATAAGAATATGCAGTAGTCATCTGCTTTTAGGGAACTGGCTGAAATTGTAGTGAAAGAAGGGTTGGGGCTGCAGGACTCATTAGGGCCTTCAGCTTGTGAAGGAGCATCATAGCTCTCTTGGAAAGACTCAGAGGAGGAATGCTTCCTTAACCTTGAAGACTTTTTTTTCTCAGACAACATTACAAGGCCAGTTGTTCCCTATAACACTAGGGATGATGTTGACCTAGGCATTGTGCAGTCATGCACATCATCTTCTAGCTCGAAACAAGTCTCTCTGTGGAGCTGAAATAGATAAATCTGACTTCGTTTTTAGGTAAGACTTGTCAAAATGGTTTCTCTTTAAAACCAAAGAGCTATTGGATATTTAATGGGTGATGTCAAGATACGTGTATTGATTTTGCCTTCTGATTATGTGGCTAGCATCTACAGATTAGCCATGTAGACTTTCTTGGTGTTCACATGACTCATGACTTTCTCCACATGCTCACATCAGCAGCATAAGAATATGCAGTAGTCATCTGCTTTTAGGGAACTGGCTGAAATTGTAGTGAAAGAAGGGTTGGGGCTGCAGGACTCATTAGGGCCTTCAGCTTGTGAAGGAGCATCATAGCTCTCTTGGAAAGACTCAGAGGAGGAATGCTTCCTTAACCTTGAAGACTTTTTTTTCTCAGACAACATTACAAGGCCAGTTGTTCCCTATAACACTAGGGATGATGTTGACCTAGGCATTGTGCAGTCATGCACATCATCTTCTAGCTCGAAAAATAATATGTATAATATATGATCTGTATATAAACAATCATGTATATCACACATCTTCTGGATCCTGGTCTTTTAAGGCATTTTTTAATCCAAGTACCTGGTAGTTTGCAAAAACAGAAACGAAGTTGGTTTCTGTGTGTGCCTCATGCTAAAAAGCTATGCTACAAAACATTCTGCTTTAGAATATGACAGAGGTGGCTGAAATGCACTTTTTTAAAGAATAAGGAGAAATCTGGTCCTTTCTGTTCTGGAGCATTGATTTCATATATCAGAGACCCTTTGATGTCTTATTGAGTTAATGCTACCCTGTCTACAAAGTAAAAACAACAGCAAAACAAAGGTAGTGAATAGCTCTTCCCTTACTTTAATTGTATGCTTGCATTTTATATTGGAGGTAACTGCACAATGGTAGATCTGAAAGCCCAGCAATATTGAGCAGTCATTGAACTATTGACTGGAATAGTTATTGTGCTCTCCGTGCTGCTCATTAACATGACCAGTATCAGAACCCGTTAGCTATAGTGCACCTTCTCATTGTGGTAGAAAAAATAGAGACACCATAATGAAGATAAATAATGAGTCATGCAATAGACTTTTTATGGGCTTAAAATTCCCCAAACATCTGTGGTGAGGATTATGCCAAAACATTTATTTCACTTTATAGCAGCTATAGGAGGCAGCAGTTTAGGTTTGAAGCCTAAGAAAAAGCCTCAGCAGATATTTGATTCTTGGCTCAAAGCAAATGCCTGTGTTTCTAGGATCTACTTTTGATGACACTGATATCTTTCTGACTGAAGTCTTTCTTTTGAAGTTGCCCCTTTACAGTGAGAGCAAAATTAGGACACATCCAGTTGTTGTCATTAAATTGTATTTAGTTTTTCAAGCCTGCACTGATTTGCTTATGCTGATTGACAGTTTATAGATGCTGCTATTTGTTTTTATTTCAAAACACTGGGAGTTATAAATTAAGTGTGTAAGGAACAAAAATAGTCATAACTGTATTGTTGCTATGCTATGACGATATGTTTGCCTTTGTATACATTTCATATACTTATATTATACATATTATGTACATCTACATATAAAGGAGACACATATACATATATACATATGTGTGTGTGTGTCCTGATATTTTCCAAGATGTCTCCTATTATGCTATGTTAGAAATCTCCTTTAAGCCTGACATGGTGACTCATGCCTGTAATCACAGTACTCAGGAGACTGAGACAGGAAGATCGTCTTTGAGAATTTGAGACCAACCTGGGCTGCAGAGTCAGTTTTAGGCAGCCTGGATTACAAAGTAAGACCCTGTCTAAAAAAAAAAAAAAAAAAAAAAAAAAAAAAAAAACCACTTTTAAGTCAGGGGAGGTAGTACATGCCTTTAATCCCAGAATTTGGGAGGTAGAGGCAGGTGGATCTCTGTGAGATCGAGGCCAACCTGATCAAC